AACACCCGTCAACTCGGCCAGTCCAAAGCATAAACAGAGGCCACGCGGGCCTCGGCTGACTAGGCGGCAGGGCCCCATGCCCCCGCCAGAACCGACGTCCAGGCGCAAGGTGCACGCGCAGGCGCGGGGGCCCAGGACCCCCACCGCGGCCCGGCCGCCGAGGCCCCCCCGGGCGCCCCTGCAGCCCCCAAGCGTTGCACCCAGGCGTGCGCCTGTGGTGAGAACCCGTCCGAGTCCACCTCCACGACCTGGCTCGGCTCTGGTTGCTCAGACTCGGCATCCAGGGGGCCCATGCCGCCGTCGACCCGCTGAGGAACCCTGCCCGTCGCTTCCATGTGGACGGTGTTGCTTGGCACCGCGTGCGCAATGCAGCCGAACACCCTCTCGAAGTCCCAGGCTGCCGGCTCCTGGGCCCGCAATCTATGAGCTGGCTGAAGCGCCCCCATCTTTCGGGGGAGGTAGCTCGTGCTCGCGGGCCCCGCCTCAGCAGCTGCGCTGCGGGGTTCACCCCGCGAGCTGGGCGCCGGCTCCTGCCTCCGCGTCTACCCAGTCGCCCAGCAGGCCTGCAGCCCGACCGCCACCAGCAGGGCGATCCCTCCTGGCGCCGCTCGGTAGGGCGCCCCACTGGTGGCCTCCTCGCCCTCCTGGTTCACGTGGAGGTCGGGGCCCTCCTCGGGCACTCCCAGCGGCTGGCAGCCGTACCGGGGGCGGCTGCGGCTGCGGCTGCGCGGGAACGGGCAGGGCGCCTGCCCCGCACGTGCTGCAGCGCGTCCAGCCTGGCCGCCTCCGAGTGGGGCGGGTCGGTCTCGGCCGTCTCAGCGCTGCGGGGAGCCGCCAGACAGTGCAGGCGATCTCGCGCAGCAGCCACCTGAGCGAAGGGGCTCCCCAGTCGTAGAGGAGATGCCCGAGGGGCGCGAAGGGCCTCCTCATGCCCACCAACGCCGCGACACACGGCGCGTACAGACTGGCCCAGCTGTCGCACCCGTTCCATTCGCGCCGTGCCCAAGCAATCCACGACACAGGCACAGGCACAGGCACACGCACACGCACACGCGCACGCACACGCACACGCACGCGCACGCGCACACACACACACACACACGCACGCACGCACACAAACACACACACACACACACACACACACGCAGGCACACGCACACGCACACGCACACGCACACGCACACGCACAACACACACACACACACACGCACGCGCGCACACACACACACGCGCGCGCGCACACGCACACGCACGAGCACACGCACACGCACACGCACACGCACTCGCACGCGAACACGCACACGCATACGTACACGCACACGCATACACACACGCACACGCACACGCACAGGCACACGCACACGCGCGCACGCACCACACACACACACACACACACACGCACAGGCACACGCACACGCGCGCACACACACACACACGCACACTCGCGCGCGCACGCACACATGCACGCACGCACGCACGCACGCACGCACGCAGACTGAAAGAAACGGTCTTTGACGAGCGGTTTGACGACACCCGGGCGGGGTCATGAGCGAGCATTCTGACCCCGCCCGGGCGGGGTCATGAGCGAGCATTCTGACCATGCCCGGGCGGGGCCATGAGCGACCATTTTGACCCCGCCTGGGCGGGGTCATGAGGGATCGTTCTTCAGAGCCTGAGCGAGGGAACGCGATCAAAAGGTGATGGCGCTGGGCACGCCCGGAAATGAACTCGAAACCTACCATGTAGATCATCGCATTGCACGTGGATTTCTCGGGAGACGCGGTCGAATAACTTCCAAGGCGACTGCCTTACATCAAAATGTCTGCCGCTGCTCGTGTGGTTCTCGCCTTGTCGCCGCGCGCGTCCTCGTCTTTCACAAACATAACCGTTGCACGCGCATGGAGGGCGAATGTTGCTCGACATGGGGCTCTCGCCATGGCGTCGGGCACACTCGTCTCCAGAAAGATGCCAGTTACAAGATGAAGGGCGAGTCGTTTTCAACAGGTTGTTCTCGCATTGTCGGGCCGAGCACGCTCTTTCAAAAAAGACCCGAGGAGGAGGAGGAGGAGGAGGAGGAGGAGGAGGAGAACCTCAACATGGGGCCCTCGTCTCGGCGCCGCGCACGCCCGTGCGAAAGCTTCAAACAACTGCGCGGGTGGGGGGGCGGCCCCTCTTCAAAAATGGAAGTACCGCTTGGGGCACCCTCCCCTATTGTATACCCACGAGTAAAGCGTGTGCAACAGTTGCACGGATGGAGGGCGGCTCCTTTATCGAAATGCAATTCTCGCATAGACGTCGTCCAACTCTGCGCCCAGAACTCTCAAATTGAACAAGAGCTACAAGGACGGATGACAGTTCCACGAAGTGGGACTCTCGCCTGGGGCGTCTCCCAATATACTGAGCCCAATTCCGCCACCTGGCCTTGTGCCCAATGGGCGAGTAAGAATGATTGCTGTTGTCTGGGAGGTTTTTGTTGTTTTCTAGGGCCGCCCCCCCCCCCACGCACACGTGGTGAACACATCGCCACTCCCCTGGAATTGCTCTTTCCAGCTGCCTTTTCGGCATCCAAGCTGCCAACATGTTTTCCAGGACGGCTTCGCAGACAACCAAGACGACATCAAAACGGCTCCAGATGGCCCAAGACGGCTCAAGAGGCTCTGAGGACGGCCTCAAGACGGCTGAAGAGGCTCCAAAGACGGCCCCATAGGGCTCCAAAAGGCAAAGGCCCTCCAAGAGAGCCCGAGGAAGCAACAACTATTGATGCGCATCAGGTGTTTGAAGGGTTTTGAGGTTCTCGTCTGTTTGGGCTTCCGACCGCCCAAGACGGCCCAAGAGGTCTGCAAGGCTAGCTCCAAGACAGCCCATGAAGCCCCCGAGAGGGCCCCGAGTCAGCCCAAGAGGACCCCAAGATCGCCCAAGAGCCTCCCAAGAGGGTCCCAAGACGGCCCTAAGACACTTCAAGGAGGCACCAAGCTGGCTTAGGGAAGCCCCCAAGACTGCCTCCGAAGGCGTCAACCAAGCCAAGAAGCCGTCTAAGTCGGTCCAGACGGTCCAAGAGGCCCCAAGAGGCTCCCAAGATGCCCCAGGAGGCCCCCAAGAGACAGCCAAGAAGCCCTCAGGAGGCGCCCGGGAGGCCCCAACCAGAGGGGACTCAATAGGCCTGCTCCTCCTCCTCCTCCGCCTCCTCCTCCTCCTCGTCCTGCTCCTCCTCCTCCTCCTCAATACTGTGCGGGCGAACGCAAGGTCGAGAACACGACCCGCCTCAGTTCAAACCACTCGCTGAACTGCCGCGGAGCGTGAATTCGACCTCCCTCCCTACCGCGCGGGCCAGGTCGGGGTCGAGATCACGACCCTCCTCAGTTCAGCCAAACCATTGAACTGCAGCGGGGCGTGAACTCGACCTCCTCCATACCACGCGGACGAAGACGAGATCGAGTCCACGACCCGTTCCAGTTCAAACCACTCGCTGAAGTGCAGCAAGGCATGACAACGACCTTCTTCCTACCGCGTGGACGGAGACGAGGTCGAGTTCACGACACGTCCAAGTTCAGACGGATCGCTGCATGGAGAGGTGGCATGAACTCGACATCCTTCCTACCGCGCGGTGCGGTCGAATACGAGTTTGAGTTCATGACCCGTCTCAGCTCAAACCACCCGTCGAAGTTGCGCTGTTCCTACACTCAGCCTCCTTCCTGCTGCACTGCTGCAGGCACGGTGGCTGTGTTTGCCGCAGGCAGCTGGAAAAACATCGATCAACAACTAAACGGATTGAGGGCAGCTCCTTTTCAAAACGGGGCTCTCACTTATAGCCCGTCAAGATTTATAACGAAAAAGGAACACGTGTGCAATTGCTACACGGATGGAGGCGCGTGCCTTTTCAACGAGGGGCTGTTGGTAGACACTTCTTGAAGCTTTATGACTCCCTGGTCGCATTGATTAAAGCTCGAATGAGGGCACTGTCTTTGAAACGGAGCTCCTGCCGCAATTGCGGCCCCATGGGGCGCTCATCTTTCAATGGGAACGCGCTGTGCAGTGAGAAGGAATACATGTAGGGACCAGTGAAAAGGAGATTTGGGACGAAAGGGTGTGTTGCAGCATTGTTGACACATGCTGAAATACTCTGGCCCCCCTTCTTCTCGTCGTCATCCTTCCCTAACGCCTTTTGGGCGAGCTGGGCCTCAGCGTACCTCTGTCGGGGACCTACTGTCACGGGTCAGTCCAAACCCTGGTCAATCGGGCCTCGCAGGAGCCTGCACCCCAATCCCGGTCAGTGCACCCCTGGTTCTGCAGGGTCCTGCACGATCCGGCGCTCTGGCTGACCCCCGTATGCATGGACCACCGTGTCCCAAGCCCCGACTCTGGAGGCCATGCTGGACCCGCCCCGGGCCCCCAGGGACTCCTCAAAGCACTTTCTGGGTGTCCGAAAGCTGCGCGTGCAACTCACACAGCCACCTCTTGAGCCCCGACTCTGGAGGCCATGCTGGACCCGCCCCGGGCCCCAAGGGACGCCTCAAAGCACTTTCTGGGTGTCCGAAAGTTGCGAGGTGCCAATCACACAGCCGCCAATGTGCGAGAGCTCGCCGAAGGACCTCTCGCGCTGCGGGCTTTGACCTCCCCGAGATGCCCGCCGGGGCAAGCACAACAGGGGCATCGCACAAGGTCGAGGCATGATGGGCATGTCTTCCACCACCACCACCACCACCATAAGTTGGAGGGGGAAGGAGGAGGACGAGGACGACGAGGAGACCGAAGAGGAGGAGGAGGAGGAGGAGGAGGAGAAGGAGGAGGAGGAGGAGAACCTCCTCCCCCTCCAACTTCTGGTGGTGGTGGTGGAAAACAGACCCCTCAAAGGCATACATTCGGAACGTAGTTCCCGCACCCTGTCTTTCTTTCCTTGCGAAGTCGGTCCACCTGACTATGCCAGACACCTTCCCCTGCTCAAGGTTTCCAACGCGGTTGACAAAAGAGGCGGAGGCCTTCAGATTTCCACGGTGGACTGATCAGGTTCGCGCATCCTGGCCCCATAAGGGGGTCAGGGCGTTATGAAGTACGATGCACTGGCCGCGAGCGACGGACTGCCGATTCCGTGCTTGATTCCGAGTCCCATGGCGGACCTTGTAGCCGTAATTGTTCAGTGAAGGAGGAGCCCTCGGGCTCTCGCTAATTAGGGGATCGAGAGCACAGATTGACGATGGTACGAGGGTGCACACAAGTACTGGTATCTCTCTTCGGCCACCGTGCGCCCGGTGCCTCAGCACATGCCGCACGTGACGGGGCAGAAGATCCTGGCCGTGGCATCTGCCACAACCTCTACGCGAGCGCCGCGAAGCCCCCGGGAAGGCGGGGTCTCACCGCCTCCGTTGCAGGCCACGTCCCTCGTGCTCTTCCCCGACTCGATCACGAACCTGTAGATCTCGCAGCCGTCGCCATCTGCGTCTCGCCACATCGGGTCGTCAGCGCAGCCCTCCCCCTTCTGCAGCCTGGACAGCTGGAAGGCGACGGTCTCGTTGTCCAGCACACGCTGGTCCGTGGTGATCCTGGACTCGTGATCGGACATGTGCTCCTCCCACGACTCGACCGTTTTCTGGGAGACCCCGCTGGACGAGCTGACCCCCACCTGCAGAAAGGCCACGTCGTCCAAACCCTCCGCGCTCTGCTCCGCTGCGGCTGCTGGCTGGCACATGCCGCACGTGACGGGGCAGAAGACCTTGGCCGTGGCGTCCGCTACGACCCGCATTGCAGAGCCGCGGAGCCCTCGGGCGGGCGGGACGTCACCGCCCCCATTGCAAACCGCCTCCTGAGTCATCTTCCCAGACGCGATCGCGAACCCATAGATCTCGCAGCCATCGCCGTCAGCGTCTTGCCACATCGGGTCGTCGGCACAACCATCCGAGCTCAGCTTCGAGAGCTGCCCGACCACCGTGTCGTTGTGCAGGACTCTCTCGTCTGCGCTGATTTTCGTCTGGCCTTCGCTGGCGTGCGCCAGCCACTCCTCGTGGCTCTTCTGGTGCACGCCCTGGGTCGGAGTCATCTCCCGCTGGAGCAGCGCGAGCTCGTCGAACTCGCCCAGGGGCGTGTCGGGCACGGCAGGGGACTCCTGGCCACACGAGACGGTGGCTGGAACTTCCAACGATGGAGCCTCCGCTGCGGGAAGATCCTGGGCCTTGAAGCCACGGAGGCGCGCGTCCGAAACGGGCAGCAGGAATAGCAAGAGGCACAGCTTGCCCATATCCATGGATGAAGGAAGGAAGAGTCTGGTTTGCGGATCGGTACAGTATAGAACGTGAGCCCCAGAGGGTGGCTTGATCCTGATTCTAATCGTCAAGTACTCCAAACCTGCAAACAAACATCAGACGAGTGGAAGTGGAAGAGGAAGAGCTCATCAAGGAAAGCCCGGCTGGCACTCTACCAGCTGACCACAAGCAATTCTCGAGCCATGCGTCTCAGAATTTCAACCTCCAAATCCCGCTGTAGGACACTCGTCAGCCTTTGGGGGGCACGGAAGACAGAGCTTGATGGTGTATGACTTTTCGCACCTAGCACATCTCCAGAGCAGTCCAGGATGGCACTCGAAAAGATCTGCAGAGCACACAGAAGGACATCGAGAGGCATGCCTGGGGTGCATTGGGAATGTGGAACACTGCAATCGAAGGTGTCCTTGAATCCCCCCCACCCCCCCACCCACACACACACGCACACACACACACACACACCGTTTCTGCCCGAGCTGTCTCCAATCAGCCCTGGACAGCTGATTGGCGACCCGGGAGAGCACTGCAAAATAGTAGTTCATAGTTCAATGCACTACCGAGTAGGTTCTCAAGCGGCTGTGGGGAGGCTTCAGCATGGGACGTCTCGAGACGAGTCCTGAGCAGCTCAAGAAGACTCACAGACGCCCTTGCCTTCCCAGGGATCCAACTAAGCTGCAGTGTACGACGTACCGATAGAAAAGCCCTGGGCCATGCCATGATTATGAAATCAACTCCTGTCTCGAGGTGGGCCCTCAAGCTCCCGCTGCTCAGGAATTCGAGACAAACATGTTGACACTGGGAACAACAAGGGTATATCTAGGTGCTGGTATCTCGCTTCGGCCACCGTGCGCCCGATGCCTCAGCACATGCCGCACGTGACGGGGCAGAAGATCCTGGCCGTGGCATCTGCCACAACCTCTACGCGAGCGCCGCGAAGCCCCCGGGAAGGCGGGGTCTCACCGCCTCCGTTGCAGGCCACGTCCCTCGTGCTCTTCCCCGACTCGATCACGAACCTGTAGATCTCGCAGCCGTCGCCATCTGCGTCTCGCCACATCGGGTCGTCGGCGCAGCCCTCCCCCTTCTGCAGCCGGGACAGCTGGAAGGCGACGGTCTCGTTGTCCAGCACACGCTGGTCCGTGGTGATCCTGGACTTGTGATCGGACATGTGCTCCTCCCACGACTCGACCGTTTTCTTGGAGACCCCGCTGGACGAGCTGACCCCCACCTGCAGAAAGGCCACGTCGTCCAAACCCTCCGCGCTCTGCTCCGCTGCGGCTGCTGGCTGGCACATGCCGCACGTGACGGGGCAGAAGACCTTGGCCGTGGCGTCCGCCACTACCTGCGTTCGGGAACCGCGGAGCCCTCTGGCGGGCGGGAGCTCTCCGCCACCATTGCAGGCCGCCTCCCGCGTGGACTTCCCGGACGCGATCGCGAACCCATAGATCTCGCAGCCATCGCCGTCCGCATCTCGCCACATCGGGTCGTCGGCACAACCATCCGAGCTCAGCTTCGAGAGCTGCCCTGTCACCGTATCGTTGTGCAGGACCCTGTCGAAGGCAACGATCTTCGACTCGCGTTCGTAGGCGTGCGCCAGCCACTCCTCGTGGCTCTTCTGGTGCATGCCCTGGGCCGGAGTCATCTCCCGCTGGAGCAGCGCGAGCTCGTCGAACTCGCCCAGGGGCGTGTCGGGCACGGCCGAGGACTCCTGGTCACACGAGACGGTGGCTGGAACTTCTAGCGATGGAGCCTCCGCTGCGGGAGGATCCTGCGCCTTGAAGCTGCGGAGGCGCGCATCCGAAACGGGCAGCAGGACTAGCAGCAGGCACAGTTTGCTCATATCCCTGAATGGATGGAAAGTCCGATTTGCGGATAGGTGGAGTATAGAACGTGAGACCCGAAGGGTGACTTGAGCCCAAGCCTGTTCGAGCGGTGGACCCGTGTCTTTCACAGACAAAATCCCTGGTGAGGTACTCTTGCAGGAGAGTTTCGCCAGGCTCCGCCGGCGCTCTCCCGATTGACAACGACCACCTCCCAAGCCAAGCCCCACAGGGCCTCCATCTCTAGATCCCAATGTGGGACCCTCGGGCGCCTGTCTGGGCCGCCTTAGGTGAGGAACGGTAGGCTGAAACTGATGCTGCATGTCGCGTCCCCCCAGTCTCTGCCCGACCAGTCTCTGGGTACTCTCGCACATGAGAGCTGGCACCCAGAAAACTTGCAGGGCCCACCGTGGGATCTTGAGGGGCTTCACTGGGGTGCCTCGTTTGAGAGGCTTGTCTGGGGCGCTTGGTCCATCTAGTTCTGCTCCCCCCCCGTCCCTGCCCGAGCCGTCTCCAATCAGCCCTGCAAAGCTCCAAGACGACCGGTGAGGGCACCGTAAAAAATCTGAAGGCCTTCAATCCACTGCCAATTCAGCTCCCAGACGGCCCTGGGAAGGCTTCGGCATGGGACGGCTCAAGAGAGCCTTGTCCCAAGATCTCCACAAGGTGTTTTTGACGCTTTACCGACAAAACTGCCCAAGGGCAGTGAGACAATCATGGAAGCGGCTTCCAATTTCGAAGTGAGCCACTCAAGCTCTCGCTGCTTCGGGAAACAAGAACGCACGTACTGTCTCTCTCTCTCTCGCTCTCTCACACGCACGCGCATGTACACACACACACACGCGCACACACACACACACACACACTCTCTCACACAGACTTGTTAGATTGACGAAGGTACGAGGGTGCACACAAGTACTGGTATCTCGCTTCGGCCACCGTGCGCCCGGTGCCTCAGCACATGCCGCACGTGACGGGGCAGAAGATCCTGGCCGTGGCATCTGCCACAACCTCTACGCGAGCGCCGCGAAGCCCCCGGGAAGGCGGGGTCTCACCGCCTCCATTGCAGGCCACGTCCCTCGTGCTCTTCCCCGACTCGATCACGAACCTGTAGATCTCGCAGCCGTCCCCATCTGCGTCTCGCCACATCGGGTCGTCGGCGCAGCCCTCCCCCTTCTGCAGCCTGGACAGCTGGAAGGCGACGGTCTCGTTGTCCAGCACACGCTGGTCCGTGGTGATCCTGGACTTGTGATCGGACATGTGCTCCTCCCACGACTCGACCGTTTTCTGGGAGACCCCGCTGGACGAGCTGACCCCCACCTGCAGAAAGGCCACGTCGTCCAAGCCCTCCGCGCTCTGCTCCGCTGCGGCTGCTGGCTGGCACATGCCGCACGTGACTGGGCAGAAGACCTTGGCCGTGGCGTCCGCCACTACCTGCGTTCGGGAACCGCGGAGCCCTCTGGCGGGCGGGAGCTCTCCGCCACCATTGCAGGCCGCCTCCCGCGTGGACTTCCCGGACGCGATCGCGAACCCATAGATCTCGCAGCCATCGCCGTCCGCATCTCGCCACATCGGATCGTCGGCACAACCATCCGAGCTAAGCTTCGAGAGCTGCCCGACCACCGTGTCGTTGTGCAGGACCCCGTCGAAGGCAACGATCTTCGACTCGCGTTCGTAGGCGTGCGCCAGCCACTCCTCGTGGCTCTTCTGGTGCATGCCCTGGGCCGGAGTCATCTCCCGCTGGAGCAGCGCGAGCTCGTCGAACTCGCCCAGGGGCGTGTCGGGCACGGCCGAGGACTCCTGGTCACACGAGACGGTGGCTGGAACTTCTAGCGATGGAGCCTCCGCTGCGGGAGGATCCTGCGCCTTGAAGCCGCGGAGGCGCGCGTCCGAGACGGGCAGCAGGACTAGCAGCAGGCACAGCTTGCTCATATCCCTGAATGAATGGAAAGTCCGATTTGCGGGTAGGTGGAGTATAGAACGTGAGACCCGAAGGGTGACTTGAGCCCAAGCCTGATCGAGCAGTGGACCCCAGTCTTTCACAAACAAGATCCCTGGTGAGGAACTCTTGGAGGAGAATGTCGCCAGGCTTCGCCGGCGCTCTCCCGATTGACAACGACCACCTCCCGAGCCAAGCCCCACAGGGCCTCCATCTCTAGATCCCAATGTGGGACCCTCGGGCGCCTGTCTGGGCCGCCTTAGGTGAGGAACGGAAGGCTGAAACCGATGCTGCATGTCGCGTCCCCCCAGTCTCTGCCCGACCAGTCTCTGGGTACTCCCGCACATGAGAGCTGGCACCCAGAAAACTTGCAGGGCCCATCGTGGGATCTTGAGAGGCTTCACTGGGGTGCCTCGTTTGAGAGGCTTGTCTGGGGCGCCTGGTCCGTCTAGTTCTGCTCCCCCCCCGTCCCTGCCCGAGCCGTCTCCAATCAGCCCTGCAAAGCTCCAAGACGACCGGTGAGGGCACCGTAAAAAATCTGAAGGCCTTCAATCCACTGCCAATTCAGCTCCCAGACGGCCCTGGGAAGGTTTCGGCATGGGACGGCTCAAGAAATTTTCTGAGCAGCTCAAAGCGACTCCCAGACGCCCTATGAGAGCCTTGACCCAAGATCTCCACAAAGTGTTTTTACCTAACAGGTTTTGCTGATAGGTTTCTACTGGACTCAAAAGAGAGCAGCAGATGACTCCACAGGGGGGTCTGGGCGGCATCCGGGGAGCTGTGTCCGAACTCGTGTCCGAATTCGTTTTTCGCAAACAGTCACACACTTCGTGCTCTTCGACCTCCCAGAACTCCATTCCCGGGCCACATTCTGAATGCCCGGAGCCAACTGTAGGCCACTTCGTGCTCTTCGACTTCCCAGAACTCCATTCCCGGGCCACATTTTGGATGCCCGGAGCCAACTGTAGGCCACTTCGTGCTCTTCGACTTCCCAGAACTCCATTCCCGGGCCACATTTTGAATGCCCGGAGCCAACTGTAGGCCACTTCGTGCTCTGAGCTTTCCCAGAACTCCATTCCCGGGCCACATTTTGAATGCCCGGAGCCAACTGTAGGCCATTTCGTGTTCTTCGTGTTCCCAGAACACCATTCCTGGACATGATGTTGAATGCCCGGAGCCAACTGTAGGACACTTCGTGTTCTTCGTGTTCCCAGAACACAATTCCCCGGCCACATTTTGAATGCTGAGGCAGGCTGATGCTGAGGCTGGGGCAGGCTGAGGCTGAGGCCGAGGCTGAAGGCAGACTAAAACTGAGGCTGAGGCTGAGGCAGGCTGAGGCTGAGGCTGAGGCAGGCTGAGGCTGAGGCTGAGGCAGGCTGATGCTGAGGCAGGCTGAGGCTGAGGCTGAGGCTGATGCAGGCTGAGGCTGAGGCAGGCTGAGGCAGGCCGAGGCTGAAGGCAGACTGAGGCTGAGGCTGAAGCAGGCTGAGGCTGAGGCTGAGGCAGGCTGAGGCTGAGGCTGAGGCAGGCTGATGCTGAGGCAGGCTGAGGCTGAGGCTGAGGCTGATGCAGGCTGAGGCAGGCTGAGGCTGAGGCCGAGGCTGAAGGCAGACTGAGGCTGAGGCTGAAGCAGGCTGAGGCTGAGGCTGAGGCAGGCTGAGGCTGAGGCTGAGGCTGAGGCTGAGGCTGGCTGAGCTGCAGGCTGAGGCTGAGGCTGAGGCTGAGGCAGGCTGAGGCAGGCTGAGGCTGAGGGCTGAGGCTGAGGCTGAGGCTGAGGCTGAGGCTGAGGCTGAGGCTGAGGCTGAGGCAGGCTGAGGCTGAGGCTGAGGCAGGCTGAGGCTGAGGCTGTGACTGCGACTGCCGTTGCCACTGCGACTGTCATCGCGAATGCGACTACGACTGCGAGAACAGCAGAATTCTACAACTGGCTTCTCATCTGAATCTTAAGGGGAATGCTTCCAGATATGCTCCTACACATCGCTGTTAGGTTGCTTTGCCGCGATAATTGACGCTTTACCGACAAAACTGCCAAAGGGCAGTGAGACAATCATGGAAGCGGCTTCCAATTTCGAAGTGAACCCTCAAGCTCTCGCTGCTTCGGGAAACAAGAACGCACATACTCTCTCTCTCTCTCTCTCTCTCACACACATGCGCGCGCACACACACACACACACACACACACACACACTCACACACACACACACACACGCACACATACACACACACACACACACACACACACACACACACACACGCACACATACACACACACACACTCTCTCACACAGACTTGTTAGATTGACGATGGTACGAGGGTGCACACAAGTACTGGTATCTCTCTTCGGCCCCCGTGCTCCCGGTGCCTCAGCACATGCCGCACGTGACGGGGCAGAAGATCCTGGCCGTGGCATCTGCCACAACCTCTACGCGAGCGCCGCGAAGCCCCCGGGAAGGCGGGGTCTCACCGCCTCCGTTGCAGGCCACGTCCCTCGTGCTCTTCCCCGACTCGATCACGAACCTGTAGATCTCGCAGCCGTCGCCATCTGCGTCTCGCCACATCGGGTCGTCGGCGCAGCCCTCCCCCTTCTGCAGCCTGGACAGCTGGAAGGCGACGGTCTCGTTGTCCAGCACACGCTGGTCCGTGGTGATCCTGGACTTGTGATCGGACATGTGCTCCTCCCACGACTCGACCGTTTTCTTGGAGACCCCGCTGGACGAGCTGACCCCCACCTGCAGAAAGGCCACGTCGTCCAAGCCCTCCGCGCTCTGCTCCGCTGCGGTTGCTGGCTGGCACATGCCGCACGTGACAGGGCAGAAGACCTTGGCCGTGGCGTCCGCCACTACCTGCGTTCGGGAACCGCGGAGCCCTCTGGCGGGCGGGAGCTCTCCGCCACCATTGCAGGCCGCCTCCCGCGTGGACTTCCCGGACGCGATCGCGAACCCATAGATCTCGCAGCCATCGCCGTCAGCATCCCGCCACATCGGATCGTCGGCACAACCATCCGAGCTCAGCTTCGAGAGCTGCCCTGTCACCGTATCGTTGTGCAGGACCCTGTCGAAGGCAACGATCTTCGACTCGCGTTCGTAGGCGTGCGCCAGCCACTCCTCGTGGCTCTTCTGGTGCATGCCCTGGGCCGGAGTCATCTCCCGCTGGAGCAGCGCGAGCTCGTCGAACTCGCCCAGGGGCGTGTCGGGCACGACCGAGGACTCCTGGTCACACGAGACGGTGGCTGAAACTTCTAGCGATGGAGCCTCCGCTGCGGGAGGATCCTGCGCCTTGAAGCCGCGGAGGCGCGCGTCCGAAACGGGCAGCAGGACTAGCAGCAGGCACAGCTTGCTCATATCCCTGAATGAATAGAAAGTCCGATTTGCGGATAGGTGAAGTATAGAACGTGAGACCCGAAGGGTGACTTGAGCCCAAGCCTGATCGAGCGCAAAATCCCTGGTGAGGTACTCTTGCAGGGGAGTTTCGCCAGGCTCCGCCGGCGCTCTCCCGATTGACCACGACCACGTCCCGAGCCAAGCCCCACAGGGCCTCCATCTCTAGATCCCAATGTGGGACCCTCGGGCACCAGTCTGGGCCGCCTAGGTGAGGAACGGAAGGCTGAAATTGATGCTGCATGTCGCGTGCCCGACCAGTCTCTGGGTATTCTCGCACATGAGCACTGGCACCCAAAACACTTGCAGGGCCCACCGTGGGATCTTGAGGGGCTTCACTGGGGTGCCTCGTTTGAGGGGCTTGTCTGGGGTGCCTGGTCTATCTAGTTCTTCTCCCCCCGTCCCTGCCCGAGCCGTCTCCAATCAGCCCTGCAAAGCTCCAAGACGACCAATGAGGGCGCCATAAAAAAAACCTTAAGGCCTACAAAACACGGCCAACTCAGCTCCCAGACGGCCCTGGGGAGGCTTCGGCATGGGACGGCTGAAGACATTTTCTGAGCAGCTCAAAGCGACTCCCGGCCTTGTCCCAAGATCTCCACAAGCTGTTTTTGATGCTTTACCGACAAACTGCCTCAGGGCAGTGAGACAATCATGGACGAGGCTTCCAATTTCGAAGTGAGCCACTCAAGCTCTCGCTGCTTATGGAAACAAGAACGCACGTACTGTCTCTCTCTCTCTCTCTCTCTCTCGCTCTCTCACACGCACGCGCATGTACACACACACACACACACACACACACACGCGCACACACAAACACTCTCTCACACAGACTTGTTAGATTGACGATGGTACGAGGGTGCACACAAGTACTGGTATCTCTCTTCGGCCCCCGTCCGCCCGGTGCCTCAGCACATGCCGCACGTGACGGGGCAGAAGATCCTGGCCGTGGCATCTGCCACAACCTCTACGCGAGCGCCGCGAAGCCCCCGGGAAGGCGGGGTCTCACCGCCTCCGTTGCAGGCCACGTCCCTCGTGCTCTTCCCCGACTCGATCACGAACCTGTAGATCTCGCAGCCGTCCCCATCTGCGTCTCGCCACATCGGGTCGTCGGCGCAGCCCTCCCCCTTCTGCAGCCTGGACAGCTGGAAGGCGACGGTCTCGTTGTCCAGCACACGCTGGTCCGTGGTGATCCTGGACTTGTGATCGGACATGTGCTCCTCCCACGACTCGACCGTTTTCTGGGAGACCCCGCTGGACGAGCTGACCCCCACCTGCAGAAAGGCCACGTCGTCCAAGCCCTCCGCGCTCTGCTCCGCTGCGGTTGCTGGCTGGCACATGCCGCACGTGACAGGGCAGAAGACCTTGGCCGTGGCGTCCGCCACTACCTGCGTTCGGGAACCGCGGAGCCCTCTGGCGGGCGGGAGCTCTCCGCCACCATTGCAGGCCGCCTCCCGCGTGGACTTCCCGGACGCGATCGCGAACCCATAGATCTCGCAGCCATCGCCGTCAGCATCCCGCCACATCGGATCGTCGGCACAACCATCCGAGCTCAGCTTCGAGAGCTGCCCTGTCACCGTATCGTTGTGCAGGACCCTGTCGAAGGCAACGATCTTCGACTCGCGTTCGTAGGCGTGCGCCAGCCACTCCTCGTGGCTCTTCTGGTGCATGCCCTGGGCCGGAGTCATCTCCCGCTGGAGCAGCGCGAGCTCGTCGAACTCGCCCAGGGGCGTGTCGGGCACGGCCGAGGACTCCTGGTCACACGAGACGGTGGCTGGAACTTCTAGCGATGGAGCCTCCGCTGCGGGAGGATCCTGCGCCTTGAAGCCGCGGAGGCGCGCGTCCGAAACGGGCAGCAGGACTAGCAGCAGGCACAGCTTGCTCATATCCCTGAATGAATGGAAAGTCCGATTTGCGGATAGGTGAAGTATAGAACGTGAGACCCGAAGGTTGACTTGAGCCCAAGCCTGATCGAGCGGTGGACCCGAGTCTTTCACAGACAAAATCCCTGGTGAGGAACTCTTGGAGGAGAGTTTCGCCAGGCTCCGCCGGCGCTCTCCCGATTGACCACGACCACGTCCCGAGCCAAGCCCCACAGGGCCTCCATCCCTAGATCCCAATGTGAGACCCTCGGGCGCCTGTCTGGGCCGCCTTAGGTGAGGAACGGAAGGCTGAAACTGATGCTGCATGTCGCGTCCACCCAGTCTCTGCCCGACCAGTCTCTGGGTACTCTCGCACATGAGAGCTGGCACCCAGAAAACTTGCAGGGCCCACTGTGGGATCTTGAGGGGCTTCACTGGGGTGCCTCGTTTGAGGGGCTTGTCTGGGGCGCCTGGTCCATCTAGTTGTTCTCCCCCCCCGTCCCTGCCCGAGCCGTCTCCAATCAGCCCTGCAAAGCTCCAAGACGACCGGTGAGGGCACCGTAAAAAATCTGAAGGCCTTCCATCCACTGCCAATTCAGCTCCCAGACGGCCCTGGGGAAGCTTCGGCATGGGACGGCTCAAGACATTTTCTGAGCAGCTCAAAGCGACTCCCAGACGCCCTAGGAGAGCCTTGTCCCAAGATCTCCACAAGGTGTTTTTGACGCTTTACCGGCAAAACTGCCCCAAGGCAGTGAGACAATCATGGAAGCGGCTTCCAATTTCGAAACGAACCCTCAAGCTCTCGCTGCTTCGGGAAACAAGAACGCACATACTCTCTCTCTCTCTCTCTCTCGCACATGCGCGCGCGCACACACACCCGCGCACACACACACACACACACACTCTCTCACACACACACGCACACACACACACACTTGTTAGATTGACGATGGAAAAAGGGTGCATACAAGTACCGGTATCGGCCCCCGTGCGCCCGATGCCTCAGCACATGCCGCACGTGACGGGGCAGAAGATCCTGGCCGTGGCATCTGCCACAACCTCTACGCGAGCGCCGCGAAGCCCCCGGGAAGGCGGGGTCTCACCGCCTCCATTGCAGGCCACGTCCCTCGTGCTCTTCCCCGACTCGATCACGAACCTGTAGATCTCGCAGCCGTCTCCATCTGCGTCTCGCCACATCGGGTCGTCGGCGCAGCCCTCCCCCTTCTGCAGCCTGGACAGCTGGAAGGCGACGGTCTCGTTGTCCAGCACACGCTGGTCCGTGGTGATCATGGACTTGTGATCGGACATGTGCTCCTCCCACGACTCGACAGTTTTCTGGGAGACCCCGCTGGACGAGCTGACCCCCACCTGCAGAAAGGCCACGTCGTCCAAGCCCTCCGCGCTCTGCTCCGCTGCGGCTGCTGGCTGGCACATGCCGCACGTGACAGGGCAGAAGACCTTGGCCGTGGCGTCCGCCACTACCTGCGTTCGGGAACCGCGGAGCCCTCTGGCGGGCGGGAGCTCTCCGCCACCATTGCAGGCCGCCTCCCGCGTGGACTTCCCAGACGCGATCGCGAACCCATAGATCTCGCAGCCATCGCCGTCAGCATCCCGCCACATCGGATCGTCGGCACAACCATCCGAGCTCAGCTTCGAGAGCTGCCCTGTCACCGTATCGTTGTGCAGGACCCTGTCGAAGGCAACGATCTTCGACTCGCGTTCGTAGGCGTGCGCCAGCCACTCCTCGTGGCTCTTCTGGTGCATGCCCTGGGCCGGAGTCATCTCCCGCTGGAGCAGCGCGAGCTCGTCGAACTCGCCCTGGGGCGTGTCGGGCACGGCCGAGGACTCCTGGTCACACGAGACGGTGGCTGGAACTTCTAGCGATGGAGCCTCCGCTGCGGGAGGATCCTGCGCCTGGAAGCCGCGGAGGCGCGCGTCCGAAACGGGCAGCAGGACTAGCAGCAGGCGCAGCTTGCTCATATCCCTGAATGAATGGAAAGTCCGATTTGCGGATAGGTGAAGTATAGAACGTGAGACCCGAAGGGTGACTTGAGCCCAAGCCTGATCGAGCGGTGGACCCGAGTCTTTCACAGACAAAATCCCTGGTGAGGAACTCTTGGAGGAGAGTTTCGCCAGGCTTCGCCCGCGCTCTCCCGATTGACCACGACCACGTCCCGAGCCAAGCCCCACAGGGCCTCCATCTCTAGATCCCAATGTGGGACCCTCGGGCGCCTGTCTGGGCCGCCTTAGGTGAGGAACGGAAGGCTGAAACTGATGCTGCATGTCGCGTCCCCCCAGTCCCTGCCCGACCAGTATCTGGGTACTCTCGCACATGAGCGCTGGCACCCAAAACACTTGCAGGGCCCACCGTGATCTTGATGGCTTCACTGGGGTGCCTCGTTTGAGGGGTTTGAGGGACGTGTCTCGTGTTTCCCTTGCAATGAATTTCTTCTGCCTCCGTCCCTGCCCGAACCGTCTCCAGTTCAATCCACCCCGAAGACGACAGGTGAGGGCACCGTAAAAGTCTCGAGACATTCAATCCACCGCCAACTCGGCTCCCAGACGGCCCTGGGGAAGCGTCGGCATGGGACGGCTCAAGACGATCTCTGAGCAGCTCTGAGCGACTCCCAGACGGCCCGGGGAAGCCTGTCCCAAGATTTAGATCGGGGGGGCGCCTTGATCTTGGACGCCCAACGAGACTCAAGAAAATCTCGGCCCGAAGCTTCCCTTCGGAAATCTCCCTGAAAATATCCCAGGAAATCTTGCCCCTCGGAAATAGCTGTCCCCGAAAATCTTGCCCCTCGGAAGTCTCCAGGAAAATCACCCGGGATATCTCCCGGGAACTCTTGACCTTCGGAAGTATCCGTGGAAATCTCCCGAGAGATCTTGCCCCTCGGAAGTCTCCCGAAAAATCTCCCTGAACAGATTTCCAAAGAGATGTCCACTGAGATGTCCTACATCCCAATGCAATCTAATCAACACATTCTGCAAGCACCAGAAATTTCGCCCCTCGGAAATCTCACGGGAAATCTTACCCCTCGACAAATCTCCGTGGAAATCTCCCGGATAATTTTGGAAATATCCCAGAAGATCTCCGGGGAAATCTCTGGGAACAGATTTCCCAAGAGATGTCAACTGAGATGTCCTACATACACGAATGAATCCTAACAAACCCTGGAAATTTTGCTGGAGATTCTCTCGCAGGCAGAATTGCCCGAAGATTTCGCAGGAGATTTCTGG